TAACAGGCTCTAGCCATCTTTTGATTCCCCTTCAGCACTCCTACCCCCTGAGGAGTTGGGAATTTCATGCAGAGATGGGGTTGCGAGATGACAGCCTTCAGCTCGCACAGGGTGGCTCTTCCTAATATAGCATTGAAAGCTGATTCCATCTTAACGACCAGGAAGGTGACAGAAGCCATCCTTAAGTGTGGTTCTGAGCCCACATATATAGGAAGAGTAATAACTCCCTCAACTGGGACGGGCTGGTTATCAAACCCGTATATTGGCCATTCGTGCTTCTGCAGCGAGCTCGGATTTAGCTGCATCTTCTGGAAGCAACCCCAATATAGGATATCTGGTGAACTGCAGTGTCAATAAACACCTTATTGACATTATGATTGCCTATATGAACTGTTGCCACAAAGGGATCTGCATGGGGCATCATAATGTCGGGCTCTCCTTCTGTTCGCTTATAATCTGCCGGGCTGAATGTGATGGGCATGTTTTCCCATTCTGCTTCCTCAAACGGCCGTTTCAAGGGTCTATTTTTGTTGACGGTCATCACCTGTCGGGCATATGTCTTGCGAGCTCGGGCGCTCTGGCCCCCTGAGTGAACACCACCCGATATCATGTTTATTGTACCAGAAGGTGGGGGTATCCCAACATAACCTACCCCTTTCCTGTCTTTTTGATTCGGGGCGGTAGTTCTCGGTACCTGCCCTCTCCTGTTGAAAGGACGTCCTCGGTATGCTCTGCTTTGTTCAGAAGGATACTGGTTATCCTGATATGCATCCTGTGTCCCTCTATGCTGGTACCCCTGTCCTTGAGGTCAATCGTACGCCTGTACAAAATGGGTTTGAGTGGGTTGCTGGGTATGAGGCTTCTGAACGTACCCTTCTAGCTTCCCGTTACGAGCCAAAAACTCTAATTCGTCCTTCAAGTGTTGGCAGTCCTCTGTATTGTGACCATATACACGGTGGTAGTCACAATGCCTGCTCTTATCTGCCCTCGGGGAATCATGTAGTGGGGGTGGAGGTCTCCGAACCCAGTGCTGAATTTGTGCCAGGATTTGAGACCTGGGTAAGGTCAAAGGAATGTAACTGGCATACTTCGGGAACTCAGCTGGTTTCCCCCATTGCTCACCGACCTTCTGCTTCTTCTTTTCTTCTCTTCTCGGGTGCTGTTCCTGGCCTTTGCTCGGCTTATCATCAGCTCGTCGCTTAGACGACTGAAAGTCCTCTGACAGTATAAAGCTGGCCGACCTGTCATTCACCTCGTTCCACATCTTCGGTGGGTTTTCAAGCAGGTCGTCTAGGAACCGGCCACGCTTCAACCCATGCAACAGGGCGAACAGGCAAATCGTGTCTGGGACATTATCAATGTCCAAGGTGGCTTTGTTGAACCGATGCATGTAATCCCTCAAAGACTCCCCTTCCTTCTGGTTAACTTGCATTAGCTCAGTCGCTGTGCGCTTGATCTCCCTTTGGCTCGCAAATTTGTTCGAGAACAGCTTGGCGAGCTGGGAAAATGAATCTATTGAATGTCTGGGGAGTTTGTGATACCATCTTCTGGCTGTTGATTTCAGTGTCGTCGGGAACACTTTGCACATCATGGCATCATTGGCATTTTGAATCCTCATGATGGCTTGATAGGTGTGTAGATGTTCATCCGGGTCTTTCGTGCCATCATATGTCTCTAGGTGGGGAATTTTGAATCCCTCTTGATATGGTTCTGCTGTGATGGATAGGTTCAGCGGGGCACTATCCAAATCCAAGGTCTGTTGGTGCGACCTGGGGCTTTTTAGCTCGTCAATGGATTTCTGCACATCCCACAGTTGCCTTTCAAGGTCTACGTTCTTTCTCATCAATTCTTCACTATATTTGGACGGGCTGGGCTCGATATTCAATTTCCCACTTCCCCTAGGCCTGGTCGGCACTACTATATTGCTTAGAGCGGGGGAGTTTCTAGTTGCAACAACCGCAGCTGGTTGTGCATCCCTGTTCAGCAAAAGAATCAGGGGGTCATCAGGGATTAGGCGGGCAAGGATTTTACCCATTGCCATTTCGAGAACTCTAGTTCTTTCTTCGAGCTCGGTTGTCCGAGCAGGTTCTGTTGACCTTTCAGGCCGTTCATGCTGTGAATTGTGTGGTCTAGAAGGTCTTCGTCTTGTTCCTGTTGGAACTTGGAACTGTTCGGGTTGGGTTGCGGACCCAGTTGGTGTTCTTTCATCATCTATCTCACTTAGGTGATCCTGTTCGGCTCCCCCTACAAAAAGATTTCTAAGCATTGGCCTAAAGTCATTCAACTCGGGCTCAGATACTTGTATGTCCTCCTGTTCGTCCACTTCATTTCTTGGAGGGCGACCTCCCGTAAAGGTATGAACCACTTTCTCTCAGCAGGTTAAATCACACGACTTCTTGTTCGAATTCCCACAGACGGCGCCAAATGTTTGGGCAACTTCACAATCCAACACTGTTGAAGTTTTCAACTGCTTCTACACCTGAAAATCCCGAGGATGTTTCCTCGGGGAAAACACTCCAACGCTCAAGTCAGCAATACTCAGTACCTTAGAGAGAAAGACTCTCAATGAGTGATTGCAGAGAGAGAAGCGTAGAGATTAATTACCTTCATCGGAGGTAGTTGGGGGGTATTTATAGCCCCCTGGTGCTAACATACATCTACATGTGTGAGCACCCCATTGGCCCACGTGGTGCTGGTCACGTGGGTATGCTTGCACCGATGCTCCTTCAGCTTGGGCTAATAGGTGGTAACCTAGGCCCGTTATGCATAGCCCAGCCCTGTTTGGGTGTTGTGCTGGGCCTATTCCAACAATGGCAAAATCCCATTTCTCCTCCTCTGTCTGTAAGTCTCCTTCCTTTTCTCTGATTTTTTTTGTCCTTTTTTGGCCTTTCTACTACTAATTTGGTGGTGATGAATGATGATTGTTGGTTGGTAGTGTGAGTTCGTAAAAGTTTTAATTGAAAATCCTTTCTCGTTCCTTGTCTTCTTGCAGATATGGGCCACGTGACGACCGTCGACAACTGCCAAGGACCGCCCAGACCACCGCGATAATCCTTTTGACACCAATTGATAATTACTGACGTTCTGTTATTCTTGATTCCGAAAATGGGTTTTACCCCATTTCTTTATATTCAATTTTGACTTCATGTGATTTTATGCTTCCTCATCCGTCTGTGTCAAGTAGCGTAATAGTTGTTTTCCTGCCCTAATATAGACCAGATTCTAATATTGTTCTAGCTTTTGGAAGTTGGGTTTGAGTCCATTTCAATCTTTATACCCCATTGATATAAATATTTGGTTCTGATTTGCTGAGAGCATATTTGGAAATTTCGTTTTTTTCTATGTTCTTCATTTCCCAAAAAGGGAGTAAAATATGGAATATGATTTGGAACCTTTTAGTTGCTAATGCTGAGGGATTGTAGAAGATAAAAAAAACCAAAATTTTTGCTTATTTGGTTCTGATTTGCTGAGAACATGGTTGTGGCTCTCATTTTTGGTATGTTCTTCATTTCCTAGAAAGTGGAGAAAAAAAAGGAATGTAATTTGGAACCAAAAAGAACCAGAATTTTTATATACTAAAATAGATATCCAAGTTCGACTAAGGTATCATTAAAAACTTATTTGCAGCACTATATAGTTGTTTGTGTTCAAGTAGCATTTTTCCTGTTTGTTGTCATGTGTTAGAGCTGGAATGTCTCATGTGAACTCCTTTTTGGAATTAAATTCAACTTGGCAAATCTAGAGTCAATCTTATGCTTCTCACTTCTTTTTCTGCATATATGATGATAATGTTATAGATCTTATTGAAAATCGTTTAGAGGGATAATAGAGATGAAGTCACCCTTTTCACAGGATTGTAAATAACAACATTATGTTCAGGAGGAATCTATATTCCAGATGGCAAACCTATCAGCTTTGAACTTTCTTTGTGTCACTATCCTTGGTTCTTGTTTTGTTGAGAGATTAAAACCAAGACCAGTTGGTTTGAGTTAGGAAAGTGAATCTTTACTTAAACCCGACTTTATCAGACTTGGCAACAATGTGTAGAAGTAGAATCAAGAATGAGAATATTACTTAAAATAATTTTATTAGTTTTTGCAGCAAAAGTATTGGAGATATGGGAACCAGAGGAGTAATTGGAGATAAGTGGTACATGAGGATTCTTTGGGTGTGTGCAATTGGAAGTGCAATCGGTATGCAATTCTACCTTTCTTTTGAGTATTTTGCTTTTATTTTGATGATTGTCAAGCCAATATTATCAGATATTCAGTCTTTTCATCAATCATCATAAATGTGTTCTCAGCTATACATAGCTTATGCTGATGGTTACCATGATTTCTTGGTTTTGTAGGCCTGTATATGGTTGCTGTAGAAAGAAAAACACAGAACAGGGAACGAATGATGGCTGAAAGTTTGAAGGCCATGGAATCTGAAGGTAGCAGTGAAGAACTTTGAATCTTGACATGCTTAAATGTTTTATAAATCACTAATAACAACTTGTTGAAGACCTCCAGATTTTACATCAGGATTTAGGATCACCTTTTTGTTGAAAAGGTTTCTCATGTATGGATTCTGTAAATGATCCATAAGATGGTTTTCATCTATTGAACTTAATTGGTTGGGCAATCATTAAACC